GTGCCTGAAACCAAATCAACACCAGTTACATACATACGATAAAACTTCTCATGTGCAATGGGGTAGTTAATTCCTGTTGATGATCCAGATTGTTCTTGCTATGACAAAAGCAATGCTTCTGAGATCTAGAACATCTCTGAGAGGGTTTTTGTTGCTTCTGTCAGCAACTGGGAGTGATCAGTATTTGTAAGCCTTGTGCTGTTGGATTTGCTCTGGCTCAGGTGAAAATGCAAAGGGAATCCAAGGGAAGGAACTGGTCAACAAAGAAATAAACAAGTTGGCACAGACCGGAAAGAGATAATCAGAAAACATTTATGAGGCAGGACAGAACTTGCAGACAGTGGTACCTTCCATGCACATGGAACTATTGACATCCTGGGTCTCGGGGTCAGTAAAGGGCTTTGAGCAGCTTTGATTTAGTGCACAGAACCTTCCTCCACAGAATGCACCCCTTGTAAATATATTTTGCAGAGATACTGTAAAATTCCCCAAGAACACTGTTATGGATTAATGGAGTATGGAATAGTCTTAATGGGAAATTAAGCTATAACAACGCACATCAAAATCTTTACACTGCCACTGTAAAAATACTTATTAAAAGATATAGCTGGCAAAGTTAACCTTTACTTTCATAAAAGGGCTGTGCTCTTCATTCCTGGCAGGCAATCGAACCTGCCTCCACTCTCCTGTCCGCCCAGCTCTCCACAGCTCTTTCTGGGTTATCTTACCCCTGAAAGTTAGTGCTTCTCTCACAACCAAAAATTAGTCTGAGCAGCACAGAGAAGGTGTCTCTCAGCACCAAATATCCCTATCTTACTCTCAAAGGTTTGTCATCTACTTCACATCCCTTCACATCAAAGACAGCTGAACTGTTTTGTAGCATCAAGCCCCCAAAAGCCACTAAATGGTATGATTCACATGACATAAACACATATCAGAGATCAAGAGGTGGACAAAGGAAGACAATTTCAGTCAGTGTCAATACTTATGGATAAATGTTGTCCACTTCCTCTTTAATTGCAGGATGAGCTACGAGGGGAACTGAGCCTTCAGTTCAGTGCTACAGGTAACATTCAGTGTCCCTTCTGACAGAAGAGATTAAATGAACACAAATACCATTACAAAAGTGGCAGCTGCATTTCCTCAGCCATTCTGTCACTTCCAAAAAAACACAGAACACCAAGGGTCCCAGACTGTATTCTCCTTCTAAACTAATCCACTGCCTGCTTTCAGTGGGAGCCAAACTGCAACAAACACCACAATACATGAAATCACCTCAGTGGTCTGTGGGATCAGGCAGAAAAGTCATCAAATCTACATGGAACTGACTGAATCCCACATGCTGAACCACCCACAAGGTCCAGTGTGACCCGATTGCAGCAGAAAATGACAGGGCTGTATCCCGTGTGATTCAGGAACACCGTGTTTTTGGGTTTATTACTCTTGGAGAACTACACCCACTATGACCTTGCTTTCTGCACTGCACCCCCAGTTCCCTCAGACCCTTCTGTGGGAGACTTCTGCAAGTTTCCAACTTCCTTTCCTTTATCCTTGAATGACAATATCCAGAGACACTTTAACTTCACTTCTTATCTCATGCTAAGGCCTATTTTCTATGGTTACATCTAATATATGCTCTATGCACAGCACCTCTCAAATGTAACCAACTAATGTTTCAAAGAAGGTCATAATAAGATAACAGATACCAAAAGGAAAAAGAATGTAAGTATTCTAACAGTGCCCTATCTTTTGATTCCTCTGTATCTGCACTTAGCTGAAACCCCCATCGTTCCCACTGGTTCCATCTGCAGAGCAGTGAGATGTGTGTGAACTACAGCAATTCCAGAGGAAACCAAACCAGAAACTCCTCTACAGGAACCTCTCAGATGTGCTCCAACTACTGACAGCGACATCAGGATTCAAACCAATTCCTTCAGCCCCAAACCATGCACTTGGTGAGGACATTCAGCGCAGCAGGCCACACCAAATCCAGCCCAAAGTAAAACAAGCCCTAGATTTCAGTGAAGGGGAGCTGTAGGGCCATACCCACTGATGGTTGCCATGTCCTCATTCCCTGGTTATACCAAACTACTCATGAGCACACACACAACCTCAGTACCTCAGTGACTGAGTTTACTCTATGGAAAAGCAGAAGCAGTGGAATTTAGGTCATTACTGAAACTGCTTTGCTCTGTTTGCACGAGGATTTGGTGGAACAAAGTGCCAGACTACTCCTTTTCCCTCCCTAGAAAGTTTCTTTACTCAAACCTGAAGCCCAGGTGCAACCTCAGTCCAGATGCACAGGTACTCTCCCATGGTTCACCCTCCTGTAGTTTACAGGCACATGTTAATAGCTGGAAGAACAGCACAACTGGGAAGCCCTTTTCACAAGCAGCATCTGGGAAACAATCACAACTGTATTTTCCATGGCAGAAACACACAAAAAGGAGAAGCTTAAACAAAGAGGGTATAGCTGATTTATGCATAAAAGGAAGTTGGTTTGTGTATAGGAGTGACTTGCTTATGAAGTTTTAAGCATTAATATTCCTAATAGAGTTAATATTACTCTAACTTAAATAGATCATGTTTGGCTCCAGGGACAACGTACTGAACTGCTTCTAGGTAATTCTTTACTGCTGTCTCAATACTAGCTCAATGTATTTCAAGTTCAATTTTGACAAGTTCAAATCCTGAACAGTCACTGTGGACTAGTTTGTGTATGCAATGAAAAGAAGAAAAACCAAACCACCAAACTCATAATATTGCCTTGAACACAGGATTTGCTTTTTCAGAGAGCCCAGCAACAGTAATATGCATTATACAGTCTCCAGTGACCCAGAATGCTTTACAAACTGCCTTTCAGGACTGCTCTCTCCTCATAAAGCACAATCTCACTGAACTGCAGCAGCTGCTTCTGAAGAAAACACAGAAGCATATCTAGGCCAGAGCAAATAAAGAACAGCATTTCCACCCCTGGTGAAAAGGTTTGAATTTAGAGGCAACACCCAGCTAACTATTGTGCCTGTTACATACCTTGGATGCTTTCTTGGCCAGAAAACAACATTTCTAACAGCCAAAAACTGAAAGAGTGCTACAGAGCATGAGACTGGCCTAAGCCCAAAGCAGTGCCTAACAAAAGCAACTTTTTCTTTGACAAGCATCACCTGGCAGCGCTCTTTGACAGCAGCACCGTGATTGCCCCACCCAGGATCCATAGGAAAGTGCACTAGAATAACCAGAAACTGAGCCGGACAGCCCGAGGAGAACACGCTGCACCATCAGCAGGGACGGAACAGGAACAGCAGGGAAAAACCTCAGGAAACCACACTTCAGCAAGGATCACCACCAGCATGTAAACAACAGTAACTTTTTAAATCCTTTCTGCTTTACCCAGCTCAGAAAGTTACAAGTCACCCTCTTAATTACCACCGCTTTTTTACCTAAATAGATCAAGCCAAATCCTCCCTGGCCGATCTGATTGCCCAGCCTCCAGGTTTTTCCTTCGGTGTCTTTCAGGATCATGTCTTTAGGGAGAGGGACTGGCAGCTTGCCTTTGCCGGGACCCTTGGGCGGCATCGTACCTTGAGAGGGGGAGAAAATGAAAGAGAAAGTTTGCAGAGAAAAGTTGCCAGAAGATACACTCTACCCCGGTGGGCTTTGCCCGCAGCTCGGAGCAGGGGCGCGGGGCGCTGCCCCTCAGTCCCGCTCCCCCTCACGCACCTCCGCAGAGCGCCCTCGGCTTCCCGCCGCCGCCGGCCGCAAACTTCCCGGCCGGGAACTTCCGCAGCAGCAGCAGGAGGAGGAGCGGGCGGCGGGATGCCGTGTTCCTGCGGGGAAACCCTGGGCGGGGAGCGGGGCAGGGCCGGGACACCCCCAGGCCAGCCCCGGCCGGGACGGGAGTCCCGCCGCCGCCTCAGGGCCCTCAGCGGGGCGGGGCGCGCGCCATTTCCCGCCTCCCCTCAGCCCGCCCGGGAGGCTCCAACACCGCCCTCGCCTCAGGGCGACGGAGCAGCGGGCAGATGGAATTGGTAGAAGGAGCTGCTTGTTGGGAGTCAGAGCAGTGGAGAGATGGAGCGGGGAGTTGGAGCTGGGAGTTGGGAGGCGGAACAACAGGGGGACGGCGGACGGAGCAGGGAGATGGCGCCCTCGAAGCCGCCTCACCCCCAGGCCCTCCGGCTCCTCGCCTCAGGGAGATGATGGAGGACGGAGATGGCACCCGCCAAGCCGCCTCAGCCCCAGGGGCTCCGGCTTCTCGCCTCAGGGGTGAGGAAAAGGGAGATGGGAGATTGGAGACGGAGCAGCAGGGAGAGGGAGCAGGCAGATAGGGCACGTAAAACTGCGTCAGCCTCGGGCACTCCAGCTCTCCAGCTTTTTTAATCTGGGTTTTGCAAGTTAGAAACTTTTTTTTTTAAAGTTATTTGGTGCTTAGTGAAGTAGGTGATCAGACTGTTTCCTGACTGAGGTAAAAAAAATACCTCAGCTCACAGGGGGTTTGGGGTGCAGCAAAACCCTTCAGGAGGTGCAGTGAAATCACAGAGCTGACATGGTGCCACCCTTCAGGCCACTTCGATAGGGATCACGATTTACACACAGAAAGACAGGTACCCCAAAACAGCACAGGGAAGGGGCAATGGCCACCTCAGGTGGGTCGGCCAGTGCTCAAGGAGACATACATCTGACCCAGGGGTGGATCAGCCCCATCACCTTGGCAATAAAGGACACAGTGAGGAGGGTTTTAAATTCCCCAAGATCCCAGATAAACAAGCCGCCATCTTGAGCACAAGCCGCCATTTTGTGTCAGCTTTGCTTTATTGTCAGGGCCCGTTCCCCCATGTGGAGCTCACTGGGGGCCACCACAACATGGCAACAAGTCCTTTTGAGAAAAACAAAACGGAAGGTTTAAAACTTCTAAGTCATTTAAAAAAAAAAAAGTTTTAAAAAAGTTCCAGAATAATTAAAATCCAGAACATCTTCAGCAACCCCATAAGTTGCAGGTGAACTTAGAAGTAGTGACACAGATTATAACTGCAAAGTCAGTATTGCTATCGGTAAATTAAGCCTTAATGTAACAACCCTTTCTGCTTCACCAGTCTTGCAGGCCTTGTGGTTTTATCATCAGTGAAAGGACCAGCTGAAAAATTGCCAACAGAAAGCTCGGCCATAAAGGGTACAAATTCAAGATTGCCATAAAGCATTTCATAGGGTTTCCCCTTTTAGCAACAGCTGTCAAACTGTAAGAGGGTGGTGCTGGGGTTTTGTTGTTTACTTAAAAGAAACAAACAACCACAGATGCCCAGTCCAGCATCAAAGAAACCATCACCACTAATGGAGAGAATTCACACTTTTATTCAATTTGAGCAGTGCTCGGGGTATCTGTTACCTGGGATGAAACCACTATTCTGCCAGGGGTGAAGAATATTTTCGGAAGTGAATTGTTTCTAAATACTTGCCTGGGAATCAGGGGATAAGCCTCTGTTTAAGAAAACAGCTTTTTTTGCTGAGCTATTGCAAAGAGGTGTCCACGTGATTAAACTGAAACAAAAGTGTATTGGGGATCTTCCTGCTTCCGAGTTTTTTTCCCTGCCCACAAAATTTCACCAGAATAAGAAAGTGAAACAAATCAGATGTGGTTTATTTTGTCATCCAGACATTTAGATACCAGTGATAGTATTACATAGCAAGCAGACATCTACATTGTTACATATCTCAAGACAGTTTGTTGTTGGTTTTTTTTTGATCCAGGAGAAAACACCATAAATTAAAAGACTCAAAATTTGTAGAAATTGTGTGGAGGAAAAAAAAATAGATTGAGTATGAATGAATAGTAAAAGACATGATCCTAAAGAAACAAAACTGATTAGATATTCCTATTTTTGTTTTATTTGTAAGTATGTTAGAACTGGAATTGCCTTTTGTCCCCACAAAACCACTGAGAATACTTTAACACCAGCAAATTAGTAGGACACATTGATTTAATGAGAGGTTGGGGCTCAATGCAAAACTTCTCAGCTTATAAATATGAGTTGTTTTGAGCTCATTTTGCTCTTTTTATTCATGAGCAAGATCACAAAAGAAGAAAACAAGTTCATGCAGTTCTGAGGAATAATGAAGTAATCAAAAAAAGGCTATTTCAAAAATAGCCATTATAAGCTAATAGCCAAACTAAAAGTAAAAATAGGTGCACAGGGGTCTATTTAATTGCTAATGGATACAGTAGCATAATGCAATCTGTTATTGGTTTTGAAAACTGAAGTCTTTGTCTATATTAATATTGTCCAGAAAGTTCTTTTCTTCCATTTTAGGCAACAAGACCCCATGACATCCCTTCGACTCCCACAACACACACCTGCAGAGTTAGTTAAGGTTTTTAAATAAAAGTTTTCTTGTACTAATAAAAGAAACTGCAAATTTACAGCTTCGACTTCATCCGGATGGAAGAATATCTGAAGCCTGAGCCATCCTTGATAACTTGCAGCTCCTTCACAGCTCGCACAGTTTAACATTCTGTCGTATAAAAGGGTTTAAGGTGTGTATCCTACAAGTCATGGAAAATAACTGTGGGGTTGTTGGGTTGTTTGGGGGTTTTTTTTGAAAGAGAATAGGTGTGAAGTTAAAGATTTTCAAGCTTTTATCAGTCATTACAAGAGTTTAAAACCCTTAAAGGCAATTGCACAGGAACGCAATAGAGACTAATAATATCACTCATACAAAAAAAAAATACTAAAAGGAAAAGTTTCCTGCACATACCAGGCCACTCCCAAAGAATCAGTTTATTATTTAAATCCAGATCTTTATTAATAAATAACAGTAGCTAGTAGGCCACAAAAAATAGTATGTGAACATCACTAGCAAATTTTTTACAAGTCCGTTTTGGACACTGCAAAACACAAAATTCCCACATACATGTTTTTAAAAATCAACAGCCCCAAGGCTTTACCTGAGAAAGGCTCTAACCAGATTAGAACTTGATAGCAGCCCTTTAGCCCTATAAATAGCACATCCCTGTGTCTGTGGGTGGGACTAAGGAATCCTCTTTTCCTGTTGGGCTGAACTGGAGACAAGGCTTTTTTCTCCTGCCCTGCTCAGCAGGGCTTTAGCAACCCTCCCAAAAAATGTGAGCCTCATTTAGGCACGTTAAAGCCTCTGTTGCCTTCAAAGTTGCTACAAATTAGCAAATTAGGTGATGTAGGGGGGAAGAAAGGCCAAAATAATTAGAGATAGCAGTGTGGTTTTTTTGCTTGGTTTTGTTTCTTTCAGGAAAGCCTAATTATTACAGAAGCAATTTCCCTTCAAGGTGATACAGCCACCACTACTGCCAGACTCAAGAATCCTTACAGGAGACAGGTGTGTATTCTAATAAGAGTGAAAGTGTACAAATCCTACCAGTATCAACCAAAAATGCTATCAGACTGCTGTTATTTGACTTCCAGTTGGCACATTGCTGCAAACAGCTGAAGGCCACAGGCCCTACCCTGGAGGATTTATCCTGGGTGCAGCTCAACTGTGTTTGTTTCTGTCTTTGTTTTAAAGCACTCTGCATTGAACATTCAGTCCATCTTCCCTTTATTTTAATCTTTTTTTCTTCTCACTGCTCAAACCCAAGCTTGAATATAGACTGTTGCAGTCAATTATATGAAATCTTGCAGTGTCACACACTCAAAGCCCCTCAGATTTGCTGCAGGAGGTGAGCACTTGTAGCTTCTCTCACCGTTGCATTGTGATGCTTTTGTGGTATTTAACGCTGACATTTTAGCCCTTCCACATTTAATTCCCCCCCCTTCTCCAGACCTTACTGTTGCTTAAAATATCATGGCTAAATTTACTCTAGAGATGTAACATCTCTGTATTAAGACCATTGACAGCCAGGCATCAAGTTTCCCAGTTTCTGCTGAGAAACCTATTTGTGTTGGTGCATCTGCTCTGGCTGTGCCTGTTCCGTTGTCACTGTGCTCGCTGCCCCTTCCTCAGAACTTTGGAAGTAATTAGTTTTTGCGGTATCAGGGGATTTCCAACATCCAGGGGCCACGTTGCTCAACTCAGTCATTGTCTGGGTGCGCTGACACCCATTTCTGAGGCTCCTGACTCCATTTTGTGTGACTGGCCCCCTGATTGAGATCACCTAATTACAATAATTAGGCAGCTCACCTCAGGATATTAGGAGAGCAACCCACCCAAACCTAAGTCCATATGGTTTGCAATAGCTAATGAGTCAGTTAATGTGCTATGTCCAGGAGTAATGGACACTCAATATGGATGGCATGGAGACATCATTTACCAACTTCCTGACTGATTAAGGTTTTTCATGTAGACACTTCTTGTAGTTTGCATCTCGTGGTAAGTTCAAAGTATTAAAGGCTTTTACATGTTAAACAGAGCGGAGGAAAACAGCTGAGACTCTTAAAAGGCAGGTAAGAAAATGCTCCTCTCTTGAAAGAAAATACAGAATATTGGAGATCTTGGGAATTTCATCTGAAATATAATACTGAAAATTATTTGAAAAGTGCTGGTAAAGTACAGGAGATGACAATGGCAGTGGGTGACGTGCTTTAATGTAGAGTAGCCTGAATGAATGACTCCCACACTTCTAGAGGGGCCACTTTAGCCTCTGGAATATGTGTACCCAGTCTCCTTTAACACTCCCCCTGCTCCCAATGCCATGGAATTGAGCCCCAGTTCTGAACTAACCAGATCAGGGCACCGATACAACAAGGGCAAACCTGGCAACACAAGCACCAAAAGCCCTGAAGCAAGTAAGGGATGTGTGGCTTTTGAATGAGCTACAGAATCTGCCCAGCCAGGGCCAGGATTCCTGTCCCTGAGCCTGTTCCTGCTCTCCTGGTTTTCATGGCTGTTGGGATGAGATGTGACTCCCTGTTCCTCTCATCATCCCTGTTCCTATCACTGTAGCTGAGAAGACAGTCAGACCCTGGGTGTGTTCCTTGTCTGTTGGGTGTCAGGGGTTTTCCTGCTCGTGCCTTTAGAAAGCACTTATTTCTGAGCACTGAAGGAAAAGTGTTTTCTTTTCCATGTTTACTGTCAGAAATGTGTGAAGAGGTGATCTGAGTTTATTGCTGCTCTGGGAATGGCTTGTATTTGCAGGGAGAGCAGGATGTCTAGTGGCTGGAGCAGAGAGGGGGATCAGGAATGATTTCCCTTATGGGACTAATCCTGGCTCTGCTACTGACTGACTTTACACGAATAATTTCATTTTTGTGTCGTTTTATCCATTTGAAGCACTCTGGGTGGCTTGGTTGGAGGCACTGAGATTCTCAGGAATGGGATAAAGAGATTACAGGAATATTAGTAGTAGCACACCAGTGTTCTTGGTCAACAAGAAGCAGTAACTTCTTTTGCACAGTGTGTGTGAAAAGGTTTAGAGAAGCCAAGAGGAATTTGGCAAAGCACTCAGGGAGAAGGTGCATATAATCACTTCAGTCTTTCCATTTCTGAGATTAACCACATGAAGTTGTTCAAGAAGGGAAACTCATCTGTCACAGCATTCATTATTCACATATCAATGCTACTTTTTATGTATAAACTTAATTATGATGAGGGGATATATTAAATATGACTCGTTTTACTGCAAGATTGATTTTTTTTTTCCCCTGACCTCAGAATAAATATTGATCTTCATGATCTTTAAATGTAGTGCAAAGGTTGTTTTATTAATGGCATATTAATAGAAAGTAGCCCTGACCATGCAATATTAATATATTTGCATTGTTAGTCTCAGATCCCATGCAGAAGGAAGGAGACAGGGTGCCAATGCCTTTTTTCTCAGGAGAGATCAGAAAACTGTTGATTTTAATGACTATTAAGACTCCTTTCAGTTTGTTGTTGTGTTTTGGTTTTTTGGTTTTGGGGTGTGTTTGGGAGTTTTTTCATTAAAAGCAGCGGTGAAGTGACAAATCTAGTGTATGATATGCCTAATAAAATAGTGATGTGTCACGTGTCCAGCATTCCCAGGAAAGGCTTTCCCAATTTATCAGGCACTGTCCTGACCTGATGGTGCTCCACTCCCCACTGCCATGGGGTCAATTCCATGAGCAGAATCACAGTGGAGAGAAGACATGGGAGAATTTGGTGGTTTGGGACTCTGATTTCTTCAATAATCAGGCCAGGAATTTTCTTAACAGCTGATTTTTAAAAGCAGTTATCTTAGTCAAGTGAGGGTTCGCTTCAATTAATTTATTTTTCTCTTCTGATTTGCATTTATAGTGACTCTTGAAAATCCAGGCTTGGAGCTGCTGTTCTAATGGTTGGCTGAACCAAGGCAGGTGTGTTTTGAAATACTCCTCACAGAGGAATTGTATGTGGTTTTTTCCTAAAGTCTTCTCTATAAAGAGCAGGGATACGAGATCACACACTGAAATAACCTTTAAAAAGTTCCTATAATTCCTGAGAAAACAGTGCCCACTTAGCTAAAGGATGCCTTTTATAAACCCTGTTTTATCAGCAGTCTTTCTGTTTAACACATATTTTGAATGGTTTGTGCCAGTCAAGAGTCAAGATGACAACTTCCATTCCATAATTTATAGAACCAAAGGAAATATGTATGTCCAGTATCACACATTGCCACACAGGAAATACTTACAATTAAGAAAGGGCTGTGATATAAGCCACTAAAAATCTGGTAGCCTGACTTCAAAAGTTTGCAGCTTTAGAACTAATTTTGAAAGAAAGAACAATCACAGTCCATCCTGATAACTGGAAAGTGGAATAAAAAGGCACTGCTGCTTTGCATCGTGCCAAAATAACTTGGTATCTATCTTTGCTAAGAAAACTGATTTGCTAGACAAGAGAAGTGTGATAGAACCAACTCATTTGGACTTGAAGGTGTTTAATGCAGAATTACATGGGAAACTATTAATTAAGCTGGAGAATATGTGTGCAAAAAGTATGAAACAGTGGGCAGGGAGTAATAAACTGAAAGGGGAAATAGCAAATGACAGAGAGGTTACCAGTTTCCAAGGGATCTCCAAAGGACTTGTTTCATTCAGTAGTACTGATTTCATGAGCAACAAAACCAAAATAGATGTGTCCTTTACCACTTTGCTGAAGAATAAAGTTGTGAGGCACTGGAGTACTGGTGTGAGAGAAACAAAACAGAATTTCATGGTACAAAACTTATGGCTTTGCTCCTTGAAACTGCTGGTGTGGAGGAAGAAGAGGAGAATCACAGGATGACCGTGAGCAGGTAACAGGACTTTAGATGTCTGAAGAAAAGTCAGGCCTGATTCTAGGTTGTATCAAATCAGATATTTTTATGATGAAATTCAGCATACATTTTTGGTAGTCTTTCACTAAGAATTCAACTTTTACATTCTGTAAGTGTTAAATCATGAAAGTTGCCTCAAACAATGCAGAGGGCAGTGATCACATCCAGTTTTTCTGTGAAAAGCAGAGCTAGATTATGGAGGGGAAGAGCAACTCTTCTGCTGGAGAGCAGTTCTTGTAAGAAACAGATTTGGTGAGAAACTGTGAAGAAATTTCTTGCCAGAGGCAGAGTAAGCAGAATTCTGAGGTTTTTCATATGTCAGGTGTGTTGAGGGGTAGGAATACACAGAAACACCTTTGCATGGGCAGTAAGTGGTAGGGAATTAATTAACTTGATAGTTGGGCAGAGAACAGAAACAGGATATTTGTTTTGTACCTTCAGAAAGGTAATAACGAGGCTGAAGGTATTATGATGTGTATTATAGGTAGATATTATAAGATTTTAGGGTATTCAGGGCTAGATTTTGCAATCAAGCCATCTTTCTCTGCTTCATGATGTGAACACCTATTACTTGCATATACTTTCATCCCTTGCACAGGAGGAGAAAAGGGCAAGAACTGATGAGTTTTGAGATAATTTTGTTTTTTCCCCATAGGATTTCCTAGGAAAAGAAGTGATTTCAGCCAATTTAAGCACCGTTATTAGTTTGGTGCTTCCAAAGTGTAGAGATACAATAATGGCTATTCCAGTAAATTAAGACAATGGCATTTAACAAGTGTTTCAGTAACATCTTGGGCTCAGTTTGTCCCAGAAGTTTTCAAGGGAAAATTGGACCTGTTTACTTGTCAGCTTAATATTTTGATGAAAATGTAACTTTTTTGCACTTTTCTGTGACTTTAAAAATTAGTAACTAACTTCCATATTAGGGATATCAACAGCCCCAGTTAATGTATGCTGCTGCAGAGGGGCCTGGGAATTTGCTTGTTTGTTTGTGTGTCTGCTCTTGGCTTCTCTGCTTCTGGGTGTGATATTTTATTGGAGCACATGATTTAAAGGAGCTGGTTGCCTGCTGGGGTATTTATCCTATATAAATTCTACATTACATGACAAATTTTAGACCCATCAGATCTGGGCAGAAGACTAAGTCCATCCATTGAAATCCTGTTTGTATCATTACTTTCTAATGAATTCTGTACTACAGCAGGTGTCAAATCATATCTGTTGTTTTGCAATCGAGGCCGAATAGAAGATGTATTGCTGTTGCAAATGAATCTAATATGAATCTAATGAGCAGTAATGAGCAACTGTTTTGTCATTATTGAGGCAACCACTGTGATGCTAATAAACTCTCATTTCTGCTCTTTAGAAAAAAGCACTGACCAGGATTTATAACGTGGCCTTAATGTCCCAAAAGCCTGAGGCAAAAGAGAAGAGTGGAACCCCTAAACTGAGCATAATTTAGTAATTTTCTGTGTGGCAGGCTTCTTATTTTCTCTTATTAAACGAAACCTGGTTTAAGTCTTTCAAGCTTTCTTACATTTGAAAGGAAAAAGATGAAGAATGAGTGTCTATTAAGGGAACATAAAGTTAAGGAGATGGGCATTCTGCCTTAATTTTCTTTAACATAAGTGCACTAATTCCATACTTCTACACTTGACAGTGCTTTTGTAGTGATAAAGGCAACTGTGTGCAACTGTTTTAAAAGCGGTCACTTTAAAAGTAACAGGCCATTAAATCAATATAGAACTGTAATATATTTTGGGGAAAATATCACAACTCTTTTAATTGAAGCTTCATTTTTTTTTTTAAATTTATTTGCATTCTCCATGGGTCCTAAGAGTGCTGAATAAACAGAAATACCTTTGACACAACAGCATCAATAGCTGTACCACATAACTGAAATGTAAACGAGTTCTGACTCCTGTGTGGCTCTGCCTTTCCCTAGTATCAATAATACATGGAATGAGACATAAAGCTGTGGAAAAGGGACAGCTGGGTACATGGTGCTCACAAGTGGAGCACAGGAAAACCAGGCAGCACTGCTTCTCTAAAAGCTAAGTACTATACTTCCATCAAAAAATAATGCTTCTGTGTATACAGTCTTCATGGACTCATCTCTCTGTGCAATAAAGCTGGATGCACTGGAGAGATCATTCCAGTATTTCATTTGGAGCTCTGAACTGTTCTGTGCAGGGTGCAGCTGTTTGCTTTGCTACAGCACACTGCAGACTTGCTTTAAGTGCTCAGTGGAGACTGTGTGGCCGATATTTAAGGTATTCTATAGCCACAGCAGTGGCACTGTGAATTCCTGAGCGAGCCAGGGGATGGGCAGTGGGGCAAATCACAGCAGCCATCCCTCAGAGCTGCAAACAGGGCATCGAAGGGGGTGTGAAACCAGAAATTGTTCCCTCAGTGCTGGGGCGTCCAAAGGACTTTGGGCCCTCTGAGCAGGAGCTCAGTTAGCAACAGTTCTCATTCGCTGGCATTCCAGTTCCATGTCCTGCTGCAGGAGGGAGGGGAGCAGAAGTCAGGCTTTCCAGCAGTTGTCCTACCAGTGCTGTGCTTGGGCCATTGCATTCAGCTTCTGCTCCCAGCATCAGGAATACATGGAGCAGATTTACTCACCCTGGAGGGACACCACAGGGTTGGGTTTCAGTAATGCTTGATGTGCAGAGTTGAGAAAGGCAACTCAGCCCAACAGCATCAGTGTTCTAGAACTCACCTTTCTAGATGGATCCACACTCATTCCAAAATTCACATGGTTTCTTTCACTCCTGAAGGAATTAGTTCTCATACTCCTCAACTGTTTCGTACCACAAACCAAGGCATGGTAAGGGGAGACAATCAGGAGCTTTGCTTTGAAACTATAACCCTGATTTGAACTAAACCCCTGGTGGAGATGCATCCATAATGTAGAAGAAAAGGTGAAGCAAGAACAGGCCCAAGTCCAAACATTACTATTAAACTACCACCTTTAGTCAGGAGAGTCTGTGAGTTGCACATGATGTAAAAGGATTGTGGTTCTAAAGTTTTTGTAAGAAACATCTGATTTCTTTGTGCATTATGGTGTAATGTACTGTATTAATTTCTTCATTGGGGATTTGATGCCTTGGATGATACAGAAACTTTTGTGACACAGCACATCTAATGAGGGCGTTTACACTGGTCAAGGAATTAATTGTACCATACACAGAAGTTACAATTTGAAGGTGTAAATTAATATTGCATAGAAGTTCAAGACTATTTATATTTCGCTTTGGTATCTACAGTGTCACAAAATCATAGAAGTCAGCTGAGATCACTACAATTTTTCTGCCTGTGTGAGATGGAACTGCCTTGTGTGAGTGTCTGTCCCTGACACTGTCATTACATCACTCCAGTGACCTGCTGGAATTGAGTGGTTCATCCCATCGGGGCTTTATGGAAAGTAGATTGGCATAGGAAGGCATTTGAGGAAATCCCTTAGGGATGTAAATATCACTTGCAGGAATCCAGAGGCATGTCTTTAAGAAAAGAAAAAAGATTTCCTTCCAAGAATCCCAGCCTTCATGTGCTACTGCTTTTTACATAAATAATGAAACAGCTGTTTAGCATAACCACTGAAAGCACTGAAAACACCAAACCCTGACAGTCTCCAGAGACAGCCTTCCCTTTGCTTATGGCTCTCTTCTCTGTTCTGTTGCCTCCTCGGAGTAAATGTCAACAACAAATTAATCAAGGGGTCATTAAGCTCTAATAATCTATCCCAGTCCATCCCCTTGTTCGCACAGAATGGAATCACAGAGTCATTTAGGTTGGAAAAGACCCTTCAGATGGTCAAGTCCAACTGTTAACCCAGCACTACTGAGGCCACACTAAACCAGGTCCCTGAGTTCCAAATCTACTCCTCTTTTAAATCCCTCCAGGGATGGTGAATCCATGACTTCCTTGGGCGGCCTGTTCCAGTGCTTGACAACCCTTTCATGGAAAAATTTTTTCCTAATATCCAATCCAAACATCCTGTGGTGCAATTTAGGGATGATTCCTCTCGTCCTGTCACTTGTTGGCTGGGAACGGGGA